TAACATGAACTTACTTGATGTACTCCTAGATCTCATTGAGAACCAATAACTTAGAAAAGATACAGTGACACAACTAGTTCTACTTAGACATCATGTACTGCTAGTTCACATTGAGAACCAAAATCTTTGAGACAGTAGCATGAATTACTTCGACATCATATACTGCAAGTTAACATTGAGAACCAATAGCTTAGAGGCAGTAACATGGAAAACTTAGACATCATGTATACTGCTAGTTCACATAGCAAACCAATAACTTAGAGGCAGTACCATGGAAAACTTAGACATCATGTATAGTGCAAGTTCACACTGCGAACCAATAACTTAGAGGCAGTAACATGGAAACTTAGACATCATGTATACTGCTAGTTCACATTGCGAACCAATAACTTAGAGGCAGTAACATGGAAAACTTAGACATCATGTATACTGCGAGTTCACACTGCGAATAAATAACTTTGAGACATTAACATGGAAAACTTAGACATCATGTATACTGCAAGTTCACATTGCGAACCAATAACTTAGAGGCCGTTACATGGAAAACTTAGACATCATGTATACTGCGAGTTTATATTGAGAACCAATGAATTAGAGGATGTGACAAGATTTACATGTACTTAGACATGATGTATGAAAGTTCATGTACTTACAAACCTTATAGCACGGTGTGCACAAATTTTTTTGAAAAATCATATTATTCTGACAGAGAGTAATCTTTGACACAATGTTAGATGCAATGATATTTTTCTTTTCTTTATTGCTTTATATCTTACTCTCAGACTTATTCCCTATACATTACATAAATATTAAATATATCTTTTGTTTCAATATGAAGTTTTATATAATGGCCTTAGACTTCTGCAAGTGTTGTTCACTGTATATTTGATTCTATTGATGTATTGACCATGTCAGCATGTGTACTGGATCGGTACTGAATAATTTTTGTAGCCCTGGATGAACTCCATTTAGCCTGTAGTACTGACGGTCCGATAAAATTCCTCGGTGTCTTCAGAATGTCGCATTTGGTACGGAGGTATAAAAAACAGTGTTCAAAGGGCGATTTATTTCAATACGCCATAATTATACTGGCGGCGATTCTTGAGAGATTCCAGATTAACAAACGAATTTCCAATTACAATCGTCCGACCCGCCATTACAGTGAACTTTGACATTTCACTGTTCACAGGCTCCGATGGAGAGGAAAAACAGTCACAAAGCAAATAACTTCAACACTAACATATTAAACCGATTGTGCATATAGGTCCTTATGTACTGACAATCCGCTGGATAATTATTAGGTGTTGATCCATATGCGTCGGAAGCAAATTGAAAGTAGGGTGGCTAATTGAAAGTGGGGGGGGGGGGGCTAAACGAACGAAAAAAGGTAAGCCCCAATTTTCAATGCCTATATTATGTCTATCTTTGCAAAAAAAGTGGGGGGGGGGGCTGCCCCCCCCCCCCCCCCCAGTCCCGACGCCTATGTGATCAGTGATAAATAATCACATGTTTTCCTTTACAAATTTCAGCGTGCACAGACACTTGTAGCTTGAGCATCTAAGATTGATACTGATCACGTGATCACATTTTAACTATTAGCTAAACACCGCAAGATCCCTAAAACCTGAGACTATTCATTACATAACATGCAAGTAGTTTACGAAGCCTAAGTTAACACATTACATAATATACAGATAGCTTAATTCTTAACACAAAAATGCTTAGATACATATGAATGCATAAAACATATTATTTCCAATAATATTACATACTATGGATTTCAGATTGTTCTATTTTATGTTCTTCATTTCGTACATGCACATTTTTTTAATATTAAATGGAAGTATTATTTAATTTGTATATTCACATATTATTTTCCAATTTTACTTAATTTTACCAAATTTAGGAGATTTTAAACTTTGAAATCTCAAAAAAAAGTTCCAGAGTAAAGTTTCATAATATATCAAAGTGCTCACTGTAGTTAACTTTAGAGAACTATAGTTAACTAAAGTAATGTTTTTAGGGTAAAGTGTCTGCTCTAGAGTCGCGTAGTAAGTAGTTGATCCTTACGTCGCGGGTTAAAATCCGACTGTGGGACGTAGAGACCGGTCCTTCGAATGAGACTATAAACCAAGGTCCCGTGTCGCAGTAGATGCTGGCACGAAAGAGATGCCTCAATGCTCAATGGCTTTGAGTGCCAAGTATAGGTCTATATTTGTAGCCCTCCACCGGCAATTGGTGGCGTCTCCATATATGAGCGAAAAAATTTCACAATAATAATAAACCAACATACGAAAGATGGCCATGACCAACATTTTATAAATATGACGGGGGACAACAAAATGGTACAAAAAAATTTTTGAACATGAAATCTTATATACATGTCAATCCCAAGAGAGGTCAGTGTGAGAGGGGTTGTAATGGGTTTTCTTAAGGTGTTCTATTTATAGCTTTGATTGCTGTGGTGACAATAGGGAGTATATAAGCAATGGCAAGTAAATGAATCTACTCTATAATATGCTACTTTTTATAAGACTGTTTTGTTGATCCCTGATCATCCTATATCCCTTGCTTTGGGGCAATATATCTTCTTCCATCAGTTTGTTTTATTTTGTAGTTGAACTGTTCTATTGGTCCTTTTACAGAGTTGTACTCATATGACCGTTAAGACCCATAGGCCTCTTGTTTTAAAACTTTTCATAAATAATTGTTATAAACAAAGATTAGGCGTGATTGATAAACTAAACATAAGAAAATATTCAGTTGTATGTTAAAAACAAATCAATGAAAACTATTAAGTCAGGTCAATGGACATAATCTACAAAAATCAATAATTTGCAAATATACTAGTTAATCTGGTTTGTACGAAAATAAAACCTAGCGTATTATCTTAACAATAATAAATTCATAGTCTTTGACTACGTTATGTTAGAGGAATTAAAAAGATGAATCAATACTGAAGTACCTAGTATGTAAGAAGTATTAAGTTGATCTTGTTTCATTTTACTAAAACATCATGTTGGATTTCAAACGACGATGCACTCGTCTCCTTCTCCTGCATGTGTTGTTTTTTTCAAAGGTGTTAAACTCTTTAACAAGTAATACTTTGCTTATTTTCTTGGTAAATGAAATATTTTTAATTGTAATGAATCGCTCTTGTAATGGTTAGATCGTTAATATTTACGGGTTTTATAAACTATATCAAAAGATTTCTGAGGAAAAGTCTAAAAAAAAAAATGATTTTTTTTCTTTTCATGTGAAACGTAATTTCTACTTTAAATTTGCATCCAACGCAAAGAGATCTATTGACTTGTGTAATGAAATTGTGTGTTAGGGGACAAACATTTTATAGAGGGTTGGGGATGTTTTTCGAATCTGATTTATTATTTCATCCTCCAAAGAACAGAATATTAACTTCCAAGATGACCAGTGACAAAATGTAGATTTTCTTCACTGGAAAATTTAAACAAGCGAAAAACAAAGGAAAACTTGAAATATTTCAGATAAAATATTGTAATGAACGTAATGGGATACATGTATCTAAAAACATGCATATCCTCCTCAGCTTTATTCGTCATGACGAACGAGTAAAAAACCATTGATTTTTTTTTTTTTAATCTTCTCCAGTATAACTAGTAGATATCAGATTTCCTTTATTCACCTACAATATCACAACTAGCTAGAGATCAGATTTCCTTTATTATCCTGCAATATCACTACTAGGGATCAGATTTCCTTTATTCTCCTACAATATCACTTCTAGAGATCAGATTTCCTTTATTCTCCTACAATATCACTACCAGAGATAAGATTTCCTTTATTCTCCTACAATATCACTTCTAGAGATCAGATTCAAGTGATTAGATGTTGGACATCATCACAATGTCAAGTTTTTGTGATACCGTCCTTGACAAAAGTCGCTATTTAAAAGTACACACGACGTAATGGTTTATTAGAAACCAACCAATGAGAATATATCTTTTAAATCCCTCGTTTTTCAAGTGGCTAAAAGCCACAGCACACTTGTGTGATTCTAAAGAGAAGGATCTTCCACAGAATAATCTCCGAAATTTTATTTGAGATAACTGGTCACAAATCCTACAATATTGACACTTTCCATTTGAAAGATGTCATATTTGTATACAAAGTTTACCTACAATAAAGTTCTGTAAGCTTTCAGTCAAAGACCGGGAACAGTTGAAATGGTAGCTAGCCCGACTTTTAAATAGCAACTTTTGTCAAGGGTTTGTGTAGAGATAACACTAAGCCTTGACATTCTGGTTGACGAGTCTCTGAGATTGTCTTGTGTTGTGCGAGCTTTGTATGTCCAGATTATACATAAACATAGTTTAGAATGCAGTTGAAATGAAATTCGTTTGGATTATTTAAACTCCTAAAACTTTCTTTCAAGACTTTTTGGGAAAATAGCATGGACGTGAATTTCTTTCGTATCAGTTACTTAAATAATAACTTTAATTCGTAAGCATAGGTAATTATTAAATTTCAAGCCACACTTTTAATGCAAAATATAGGATCAGGATGCTATTTTAGTCAATTCTTCAAAAAGAACTTTTAATTAAATATCTGTATTGAACTAAAGTTGATACCTAGATAAAATTCCTGTATAATTATCAAATTGAAATAGTATAATCTATTAAAATATTCTATTTCAACATCGGTAATCAAATTTTCATTTAGAAAAGAATAACCTCGTATTCAAATCTATGCAAATTAAAAGCCTATGGTTTTTTAACGCAATGAAACGATTCATATAGTTTTTAAGAGAATAAGTTACTATGAATATGAAAAAAAAGTGCACAGTAAAGTTTTCAGTATTGGATCTTTTATGTAAAATTGTCGATTTAATACTGACCTCCTTCATGCCATAAATGATTAAAAGACGGTTCAATGATAGTGCAAGTCTGAATATACAAAGATCTGAGACAAATATTGCAATATTTATTGATTAGTAGATCAAACAAACTTTAACAAGAACCGTCAATTAGATGCAAATAATTATTAGTGTATTTATCCACGGACTGATCAACATTGTAATGATGCCTAAAAAGCAACTATCAGGTGACTAGACTACTTAATTAATCGCTTGATCTGAGAAGAAAGGTCTATATCAAATATTTGAGTAAGGGTTAATTGCTAGGCAAAAAATTAACAAGTTGAAGAAATGTCCGTGTCAATGCTCAATATTGACAAAAAAAAGATCTATTAAAAAATTTAAGTATCAGCAATGCAGCAGAAATAAAGACGTATTTCCTTAAATACATTTAAAAACCTTTTTCCACACATAATTAAAATGAAAAATTAAAAGCCGTAAACATCCAATCTAATTAAAATTAGATGTTCCGAAAGATCGCTCTGACGTGACCCCTAATGGGATGTTGTTAGATGTTTGAGAAGCGGTAGCGGATTCGGAACATCTAATTTTAATTAGATTGGTAAACATCGTAAGGTAAGTACTAATGTAAAGAATGTGTTCAAATAGATACTTGTAATCTTAATGCAAATTACATTCTTTCAAAGACATTTTTGGTAAATTCACAAAGATTTAAATTAAAAAGACTAAAGAAAGCTTAGTGTACTTAACGAGGTTTTATCATCATTTTAGTTTCAATGATATCCATTCCATTCATTAGACCCGGTGACCAGGGTTCCCGCCAATTCTCCGAGGCCCAGGGGCCATTAAGGAAGGCACGATGACAAGCATTGAACCACCAGCCCCCGGCCATAGCTACAGCACAGTTATATCCGCCGCCTTTGTTGTCATTATCTCGGTCTAAGGTAGTGAATCCCATTCCGGCGATTACCCGATCTGTATTTAACATATTGTCACCTGTTAAAAAAGAGATTGCAATTATTGTTTTTTTAAACTCTGAAATTTATTGTATCGATAGGCATTTATCATATACCATTACAGTTTTTATAGATTCGTAAAAGAAAATTCAAGCTTTCAGCAGTGATTCTTAAATCACACTTGTAATCTAACATCTTTATTCACATCGACTCGTTCAATTTGCTAAAAGTCGCCAAGAGCAAGCATAAATATTTCCGTAAAATATTGCTGCTAATACTAATGGAAAAGAGATTCATTAACACCACAACTATTGAAAACAAAGAAAGAATGTTCGTATCTGTACCCGATAGTTAGCAACATTCATTTATACAAATCAGATCATTATGCTTTCACGTGTTTTGTTTTTAACTTTCATCAATTCATGAAATATAAAGAATTATGAGTGTCCGTACCTAGTGTCCCTGTTGCTGGTCCAGCAAGGAAGAGTCTATAGTTGTCGTTTTCATCCGACACAGAGAACTGGTTATAAAGCTCGTATTTTGTATTTACATTATTTCGTGTGAGTGAAACATACAGTGATGGACGATCTTTTGTTAGTTGGTAAATTGCGTCATTTCCTGTAAGCAATTGATGCTAATATTGAGTTTATTTTTGAAAATTGAGTAGGTTTGGTACAATGTATCCATTGCCCTTTGGACAATAAATTTTAAACAAGTAAAAAGTACATTTTGAGTATTTCTCTACATTTTTTATTAATCATTGAAAAAATTGCCTTTTTGAAAAAAAGGGGATAAATCACGTTAAATAATGTTGCTGTCTTACCAATCCAATGATCTCTTTCTGGATTACCGAACCCATCTTTGTAATCAGCCCAATTCCGGGTAAAGTTAACCGATCCTGTTTTTCGAAATTGTATTGCCTTTAAAATATTAAAGAACACTATTACTTTTTAAAGTGTTGTTTTAAATTTCTATTTCCTTGTGTATTTTTTTTTTTCAATCTTGTTTTTTCCATATTATTTAATTATTTAAAAAAATAAAATCTCGAATAGAAATATCATAAATAAGAATTTAAAAGAGAGAAAACGAAGAAAAGAAATCAAATCGTAAATAATCTTTAACTAACAGTCCACCCCCCTCCATTGGTTTCCATGTCACAGAAGACCTTGATAGAACGACAAACAGGACTAGCTCTCTCCCAGGGATATATAGTGTACACAGCTGACGCTCTATATCCTCTATCGTAAAGGGTTTTACAATCACCAGGTAGATCTGCGGGAATAAATCACATACTGAAATATTGCAATTCAATTTTGTAAAACTATTTGATAATATAATATATAATACAATAATTGAAGGTTCTCTCTTAGGTGCTCCGGGTATACTTGTGTGGTTAGTTATTTACAATAAGGTGTTTTGTGCATTGAGGGGGTATTGAAGGAATATAGTTTTCGCATGCACGCAATGTAAATATCAACTACAATGTAATAGTCTAAGAATTCAATGTTTATTCATTTGCTTAAAGATACATAGTCAAAAAACCTTAAATCTATTTGATACAAATGTACTTGTATTATTTATTTAAAAAATGAAAAAAATATGAGTAAAGAGAATTCTTTACATACTCAACTACACTATAAAGTAAGCAAACAGTCCAAAATATATATGCTGGAAAAACAAAGTTTGTATTTTTTGCTTCGTTGTCATAGTCCATATGAACGTCACGTGACTTCAAGCGTATAACACTAAAATGTTCCGTCTACCGACATTCTACATGTACCTCTTGGGAATTGAGACAAAAGTAACTTATTACTCTTGTCTTCGCACCAGTACAATAAATAAGAAGGAATATTACACAATATTTTCGGATAAAAAATATTTTTCTTTATTAATGTTAATTTTTTAGGTTTCGAAGTCGTTTATTGTGTGAAACTTCAAAAGAAGAAACTTCTTGGGACATGCAAAAATTCTTATTTTTTCTCTAGATTTTCTATTTTTGCGTTACTGTGTCTCTTTCAAGACTTGTTTACGATTCTGCAACAAGTTTTAAGTATATAGAACTTTTAGGAAATAATTTCTTTTTTTTTTGTTAATTCAGTATTATGTCCGTGAGGTCCTGTTTCATTGAAATAGTAATCATTTACTAAAATCAGGTTCAGGGTTTTATTTTTACTTTGTATCAGGCTTTTATCTTAATAGAGTGCTTACCTTGTAGCGTAAGAATGTGGTATCTCCAAAAATATTCAGTAACTGTCATGTCCACTGTGTCACATGACTTCAGAAGGCGACATTTTTTAGTCTGACCGTTAAATCCCAAGCAAGTACATCCGCAAATACTGCTACACAGAGCAGTACAGTGGCACAGAGAGGGCGAGCTGTGCTCTTCGAGAGGAACGTTTTTAGCTACCTTGTTCAGATTCTCCACTTTTCCTACATACATTTGTGAGACCTGAGCATTAGAGATTTTGCAGAAAACATTTAAATAGAAAAGAAAACGTACACACTGAAGCATGCTGATTTTTAAGTTTGTACAGCTAACATTTTATGTTTCGCTTTCCAATACATTATGTGTCCCTTGTCACAGAAATTATTAATTACAAATTCCTTCACTTCACTTCAAAGGGCACTGGTGAGCAAGAACGATCATCGATTTCTCATGTCTATTCTTAAATTGTTTTCCATATTTACTTAAATTAATAATTGGAAAAAAAAAAAACGGGTTCCAGCTGATTTTTTTTTATCGTTTTTAAAATCGATATGGAATAATCTTCTCTTTAAAGTAGATGAATTGGTTTTAAATTCGTGATTTATGAAGTGTCAGAGCTAAATTAAATAAAAACTTTTCTGTGCACAAGAATAATCAATGACAGATGTATGGTTTGTATTCCTGGAGGAACAAAATACACTGTAATACCACAAAAGTATAAACTCTGCCATTTTCCTTTCGGGTCAGAGTGGAAAGCGGACACACTTCCAGGTATTCTATACAGGAAAATTCGAGGTTTAATGGATAAAACTATGGAGGTTTTTTTCTGATGACATATGAATATTCAAATTTGAATTTTAATATTAGAAGATGGGCAATTTCGATTTCCTTTCTACATTTATTCGGTTTTGCAAAGAGGGAGATTATTTATTGTATCTGAGCATAGAACAGATAAGCCCCCTTGTCCATGATCTCATCGGAATTCGTATGGGAGATGAATTATATTTTCTTTTGGTTGGAATTAGTTCTGATTTTAATACAGAATCAATGACTTTTCTACATAAATGATAAAGAGTCTTAGTCACCATGCATTTAAGAGTTACTAATTTTTAGCTCAACTGGTCAGAGACCAGAAGAGCTTATGCGATAGTAAGGTGTCCGTCGTCCGTCCGTCTGTCTGTCCGTCTGTAAACAATTTTTCAAAATGCTACTCCTCCTACAGTTTTGGTCTGATTTCAATATTACTTGGCACACAAGTAGACTACACTAAGATACATAATTCTATGTATCGGTTTTTGATTTCGATGAACGGTTGCCATGGTTACTAAAAATAGAAATTTCTTTGAAAAACATTTAAAATGCTACTCCTCCTACAGTTCTGATCTGATTTCAATATAACTGGTCACACAAGTAGACTATACTAAGATGCATAATTCTGTGTATCGGTTTTTGATTTCATTAAATGGTGTTGCCATTGTTACTAAAAATAAAAATTTCTGTGAAATACTTTCAAAATGCTACTCCTCTTACAGTTTTGGTCTGATTTCAGTATTACTTGGCAAACAAGTAGACTACACTAAGATACATAATTCTTTATATTGATTTTCTAATTTCGATGAATATTGTTGCCATGGTTACTAAAAATAGAAATTTCCTTGAAATACCTTCAAAATGCTACCCCTACAGTTTTGGTCTGATTTTAGTATTACTTAGCACACAAGTAAACTACACTAAGATACATAATTCTCTGTACCAGTTTCGGATTTCAATGAACAGTGTTGCCATGGTTACTAAAAATATAAATTTTCTTGAAATACTTTGAAAACGCTACTCCTACACTTTTTTGTCTGATTTCAGTATAATGTGGCATACAAGTAGACTACAGAGATACATAATTGGTGTTATTGTTTTTTGATCTTGTTGAATGATGTTCCCATGGTTACTTAAATCAAAATTTCTGTAAAATTGTTTTAAAAGGCTACTCCTCCTACAGTTTTAGTCTGATATAATAATAAATCTTGCCACAAAAGAGACTAAACTAAGGATCATTATTCTATTTATTGCTGTTGCAAAGTTTCAAGTCCAAGTACTACTTTTATCTTCCTTTATAAATACAACCAGTAGAGTTACAGTCTCGTCAGAGACTTCTGGTTTCAAATGTTCTTGAAATATTCATACTTGTTTTCGTGAGTATTTGCCATAAATTGCAACTGCTGCAAAATCAATAAAGGTAGCTTAAAATTCATCTCTGTTCCGAATCACTGTGCCAGAAAACTGTTTTACATAAAGTTTCCATACAAAGCATATGATCTTCAACATATATCTCTTTCAATACAATATTACTTAGAAATTACATGTAATCAAAGAAGAAAACTTGTGCTTTTTTATTTAAATTGCTGATGACCGTTCATAAAATAGATTGAGAAAATCGCAAAAACACAGGGCAATCGTTAAAACTCGGGAAATATACAGGAATTAATGATACAACACCAAAGTTATGTATAAAAAAAATTCACACGGATTCGTCTTGCTGATGTTGCAACCAAGTTGTATGATCAAATTAGTTATTATTTTGTATTTAGATAATTATCTTGCCATTTACAGTTGTTGGCCAACAAAAAATGACTCGCAAATTTAAATAAAATTAAACTCCATAAAAATGTCTTTTTCATGCAATATTTATATTGTGTTTCAATCAGTCATTGTTTTCCCGATATAAAATAAACTTAGCCGAGTGCATTATAACATATACCATTTCTAAGATACGAAATATAAGCGTAACAAAATTTCTATTCCTTAAATCTATGCGATACTCAGCGCGTTAAGTGATTGAATGATTGTATGTTGTTTTACGTCTCATTCGAGAATTTTTCACTCATATAGAGACGTCACCATATACCATTGAGCAATGAGGGTTTTTTATCCTGCAAACGCCAACCGGGGTTTTAAGGTCTCATCCGAAGGCATTTTCAATTCAAGTGCCGTGCACTTGGCGAAGGAACAGTTGCTACCTATTTTTCATCGACGTAGGTCAGTTGAGTCCGTGATTCGAACACACGACCTTCCCATCACGGAGCGAGCGCTCTACCGACTGAGATACCGTGGCGGCCGTTAAGTGTTTCAGCAGTGACAGTTTATAAAGTGTCACAGTTATATTTTATATGTCTTTCAGAATCTATATATGGTCCAAGACAAATGTAAAAAAAAAAAAGGCTTCCCTCTTTAGATTTAGTAAGATAATTAAATCCTTTGGTTCAAATCACAACTTCAATTTTTTCCCGTATATTTTGATTAGCATTTATTGGAATATTAACATTTCAATTAACTCCTATTTGTTCCGTACTTAATTCTTCCTTCAGTGTGTGTCACAGACCTTGGTTTTCTGAACCAGCGGATAATTATAGATTTATCTAAATATCTTTAAAGTTATTAGAGGATACCAGCTGAAAAAAGAAACCTTTGTTTTTCTATTAAAAAAAATAATCGGTATGCGTATGAGGTTTTTTAAAAAAAAAATATTGTATATTAAGATAAAATTAAATTCAATATTTTTAACAAACTATCATTCTACGTTAAATAAATGTTTGGTTCTTTCTAAGGAGGAAATTCTTCAAAATCAAATGTCCGTTTTAGATATTTTTGATATTCCCTACAATCAAAATGAATTGAATTACCATACCTCTACTGGATTCCTAAACTTCATAAAAATCCTTACAAACAAAGATACATAGCGGGTTCCAGTAAATGTTCTACCAAGCCTCTTTCTTTACTCCTCACTAAAAAATTATGTTAAAAAGCACTCTGATTGTACACACAGGTATTCTGAAGTTGATAATAAAAAGATGCTCGAGTTTCTGATTGACAATATCTATGTAGTTTTTGGAGATCAGGTCTTCCAACAATCTGTTGGAATATCCATGGGTACCAATTACACCCCCTTATTAGCAGACCTGTTTTGTATTCATATGGAGCAGAACTTATTCAGAAACTTCTACATCAGAAGAATAAAACACTTGCTGTGGCCTTTAACTCGACATTTCGACGACCTATTATCAATAAACAATAGTTACTTTCATTCTTATGTTGCCTCGATATATCCCAGTGAGCTTGAAATAAAAGACACCACAAACTCTGACACAGCTGTTTCATATTTAGATATTTTACTAGATTTTTTTTGTTTGTTGTTTAACGTCCCTCGCACAGATGGGTTCTAAAGACAAAAATAAAGTAGCAGCGGCTGAAAGTGAATAAAAATAATGTTTTTTCTTTAAGGCTTCCAAATGAAGCTACAATTTTTACAGCAGAGGCAAAAGCCATACAGCTTGCATTTGAATATATTAAATCTTCTAATGACAACTCTTTTACATTTTCGGACTCGCTTTCTTGCTTGCAATCTATACAAAATATGAATATCGATCAACCATACATTTTAGATATATTAGTTCAGTTCTATCATTTCACTCAACAAGGTAAAGTAGTTGACTTTTGTTGGATTCCAAGTCATATTGGCATCATTGGAAACACTAAGGCTGATAGTGCTGCAAAATTGGCACTTCAGTACGAAATTACCATTTTTAAAATTCCTTATACTGACCTAAAATATATTGTGAAACTTTATGTAAATTCTCTTTGGCAGATATATTGGGAATTTTGTGATATAAATAAACTATATGCAATAGAAAACAAAGTTAACATATCATCTAACTTGGGCCTGAAACGTCAGGACGAAGTGATTATTTCAAGAATACGTATAGGTCATTCTAAAATAACACATGCATACTTATTAAATCGAGAACTTCAGCCAGAATGTACATCCTATGACTATCCGCTTACTATAAATCATATTCTTTTAGAATGTTCTGATTTTTCGCCTATTCGAAGTAGACTTTTCAATAATGTACGAACGATGCGTGAACTGTTTACAAATGTTAATGTTAATACAATTTTAGATTATTTACATGAAACTGATTTTTACAGTAAAATCTAAAGATACACAATGTAATTAATTTTTTGATAAACACAGAGAGAGTTTTATTTTAAACTTTTAAAAATATTTTTAAATTTTTAAGTCCGTCGGATGGGACGTTAAATGGTGCCCCGTGTCAAGGATTGCAACCCCCTTGGCACGCAAAAGATCGTTTTTCTGGTTTTCGGAAAAGAGTAGGCTCATTGGGGGCAGCCAGAGAAACCAAAAATCTTTCAAAACCGATCATATAGAATTAATGTTCCGCCGAAATATGGCTGAAATATTGCCGACTCGGCGTTAAACTCTAATCAATCAATCAATCTCTCGCGAGAATTTTTCACTCGTATGGAGACGCCACCACTTGGCGGTGGAGGGCTACAAATTTTGACCTATACTCGGCACTCAGGGCCATTGAGC